CGTAGTATATAAATTCACATAAGAATCATACAAGCATTAAGATCCAGCTAGACCGTGTAAAGGCTTTGATTTCTATAGTTTGTGTTATCACATGTACGGCCCTATAATATATTATATTATATATTATAAAGCTTGCTAAGAAATATAATAAAAGGATTCCAGTACGCCTTGTTAAGGGTGCTTACTGGGATTTTGAAGTAAAAAATGCTCAAGAACTGGGTTTGGTGGATTACCCTGTTTTTACGTGCAAAGAATTCACTGATATATCATATCTTGCATGTGCTAAGAAGATTTTAGCTCATAAGCAATTCATATATCCACAATTTGCTACACATAATGCATATACGAGTGCAGCTATTCAGGATATGGGTGATAAGGATGAGTTTGAGTTTCAAAAATTGCACGGAATGGGTGATGTCTTGCATGATATTGTGATAGAGCAAGGGTATATTTCTAGAATCTATGCTCCTGTGGGTGCATACCACGATTTGTTGGCATATCTTATGAGGAGATTGCTTGAAAACGGGGCTATATATACGTCATTTTTACACATAGTGCATAGGAAGTGTGATTCGTTGCAAGGCGTTGAAATGGAAACGCATGTAAAGGCGACCACCAAAAAGCTAAGCGTCGCTCCTAAGATTCCTATGCCACAAAACATATTCTCAAGCGGTAGATTAAATTCTATAGGCTATGATATGGGTTTTGTACAAGATGTGGATGTTATTAGAAAGTCAGTAGAAGATGTGAGTATTTCTGCTCTTGTTTCTATACTTCAAAAATCTTATAAAAACCATTGTATAGAAGGTGAAGAGAATATTATCGAAGGTGGTGATAGTAAATGTATTACTGTAAAAAATCCTGCTGATTCGAAAGAAGTTTTAGCAAGATTAAGGGGCGCTAGTATTAAAGATGTTGAGCGTGCACTGGAATCTGCACATAAGTACTTTGATGAGTGGGCTTATTTCAGTGTTGAGAAGAGAGCTGAAATTCTGGACAAAATAGCTGATTTAATGCATCATAATCGTCATACTCTATATGCACTTCTTATAAGAGAGGCCGGCAAAAATATAAAGGATTGTATAGGTGAAGTAAGGGAAGCTATAGATTTTGCAAGATATTATGCAAATAGGGTACGAGCTCTTATGTCGGGGCCAATGACGATGGACTGATATACAGGTGAGTTGAATACACTTGCTTTGTACCCTAAAGGTGTATTTGTCTGTATTAGTCCTTGGAACTTTCCTTTAGCAATCTTTTGTGGACAGATCTTTGCTGCATTGGTATGTGGAAATACTGTAATAACGAAGCCTTCAGAATTAACTTCTTTAATAGCGCTTTACACTGTTGATTTAATGCGTTCTGCTGGGGTGTCGGATGAAGCGCTACATTTATTGCTTGGTGCAGACGGGCAGATAAGCAGACAGTTGACAACTGATAATAGGGTGTCTGGAGTTTGTTTTACAGGTTCGACTGTGGTAGCTCGTTCTATAAATGTTGCTCTGGCTTCTAGAAATGCGCCTATAGCTACTTTGATTGCGGAAACGGGTGGACAGAATGCTATGATCATTGATAGCTCTGCTTTATTAGAGCAATCTGTGGATGCGATATTGCTCTCCGCATTTGGTAGTATAGGACAAAGATGTACTGCTTTACGTGTTCTTTATGTTCAAGAGAAGGTATATGGGCCTCTCTTAAGAATGCTTTCAAGTGCGTTGCAGGAGATTAAGATCGGTAATACTTTGGGTTTCTCAAACGATCTTGGTCCTGTTATTAGCGTTTCTGCTAAAAATTCTTTAGAAGCTCATGTGGAACGTATGCAGAACAATGGTTTCAAAGTAACGGTGTGGAGTGGCGATCTTGAGAGTGCAGAACATAAAGATGGATATTTCATTGCGCCTTGCATAATAGAGATAAACAGCATTCATGACATCAAAGAAGAGAATTTTAGCCCAATACTGCACGTTATCCCTTATCAAGCAAAGAATATTGATAATGTAATTGCCGAAATAAATAGTACAGGATTCAGGTTGACGTTTGGAATGCAATCTCGTATCGAGAGAAATTTTAGGTATGTAGCAAGCAAAATAAAAGCTGGAAATATCTATATGAACAGATCTACTACAGGTGCCCAGGTTGAATCGCATCCATTTGGTGGAGAAGGAAATTCTGGTACTGGCTTTAAAGCTGGAGGGCCAAATTATCTTCTAAAATTTGTTACAGAGAGGACATTGACGATAAATACTACTGCTGTTGGTGGGAACTTCAAGCTTTTAAGTGAGAGTTTCGATAATGCTTAGAAACTCTGCTGTCATTGTTTTTAAGGAGATATGGAAAGTTTAGGAGAGGGCAGTGTATTGTGTTTATCATGCTTATTTCATAGCGTTTTAGCTATAATTTGTCATTAGACCTCTTTGGAAATTCTACTTCTGGTGAGAATTGGTGCGTAGATTTAGTGCTTGGGTCTTCATGTATACTCGTCATACTTCAAAAATTAGTGCTCTCAGAATGCTACTTATGTATTTCGTATACATGCTTTACGCGCTATTCTTCCTAGCTCTTTTTGAAGTCTAACTTCGTATGTACTGAAGTTAAATATCAACTCTTCATTTTAGTGGATATATATCAACATATACTAAAGGTCCTCTCAAGCGTCTAAATCTCCTACTAGTTCTCTGCTAGTAGCTAATTTCGAAAAGAGGTCTATTTTTCAATATTAATGATGCTTAATATATAGAGCGTTGTAGTATTAATATGATGTTCTAGTATTAATTGTTGCGTTTTTATTGTATTTGCTCGTTTTAAGTGTATAGCAGTATGCATTACTGCAAGATGTTAATCGGTGAATATTAATATTTTTACTTATAGTAAGTCCAATCAGTCAAAAGTCCAAATCAGTGAAATTGCTCATCCACTAGATGTCCATGGATGGAACGTTTGGCATTGCTAAATTCTGAAATGGCTTGTGTGAAACGAGACTTGTCGTAAAATCTGTAAGCTTTATGCATATTTTACTCATTTTGCTTAAGGATTTAAAGCGTAATTTTGCTGTTCTAAACCTCATTTTATACAGCTTCTGAGACTTTTGGTGCGCGTACTTGTAAGCATTGAACTTCCAGTTGCAAATATCTTGCTCTTTGTCGAAAATGTTAGATTTATAAAGGGCTTTCGTTAAATTTTGATATATATTTTTAAATTCTTGACCGCAATTGGTTTTGTGTGATATCAATTGAAATATTGCATTAATATTAATTGATTATTTTATGCAGATTAATAATCGTTGTTTTTCTATTAGTTAGCACAGAGCAGCAAATGAATCAGTGGTGCCAGCTTATGTAACTAAAACAAAAATGCAGGCCCTGTTTGATGAGTCGTTGTTAGCGTCAAAATATTTTTTATAGCGTCATGCTATAAAACTTCACTATACCATAGCGTTACTTTGTTTGGATAATTTATGTGCACTCAGCATTACGCTAGTTTTCACAATCAAAGTATAAATAAGAGGATGTTATGACAGATTTATATAAAGAGTTGGAATCACAAGAAAAAGTAGAGAAATCTATTATAAATTTCACTGCAGAGAATACAGATAAAATTCAAGAATCTGTAGTAGAAACAGGTGAAGTGCAAAACAAAGCAGTTCCTACTACAGGTGATGTATTGACTAAAAAATGATACAGAATTAAAAAATCAAAATCTAGATAAAGAGTTAGAATCGCAAGGAAAAGTAGAGGAATCCGTTATCGATTCCACTGCTGCAAATCCTGGTAGTATGCAAGAATCTGTGGTAGAAACCTGTGGTGAAGTGCAAAACTTGACAGTCGCTGATATTGATCTTGAACAAGTAGCTGCTAATTCTGTTGTACAAGATATACCTACTCATTCTAATGATGTTAATGTAGAAGCAGAAGGTAATATTCCACTGGAAAGTGCTACATTAAATGCAATATATGAAGATATTGCACATAGTGGAGTTGTGCAGCAGGAAGAAGGTGTACATGCAGTAAATGTTGAGCTTTAAAATTCCATTGATTATATGCATTTTTAAATGCTGTACATTCATGTCATTATGTTAACTAGAGCGCCCTTATGATTTCTTAGGGCGTTTTTTATGATGCTTTTTTTATTTCTCTATGTTATATCAGTTTGCATAAGGAAATGTAAGTTTAAGGCTACTAATTTTGAAATGAGATGATGATGTGAAGCGCCATCTACTGTAATTTGTATGAATCTTGTATAATCTATAGTAAAAAGTGTATCTTGATTCTCAATGGTTGTCCTTTGATTAGCTTGAGCTGCTTGTTTATAAACTACGATTTGGTTTTCTTACAATATGTTATTTAGATTCTTTCATAAAGCTATGCATATCAAGGCTATACGTATATGCCAAGTATTTTTGCTATCAATAATAATTCCAAACTACTCCACAGCTATGCAGACAAAACATGATTCATTAATACCAAGAACTGTACTTTTTAGAAATCCCGATAAGACTGCAGCTCGTATTAGTCCAAACGGTAAATATATAGGTTATATTGCACCCAAGGATGGAGTTCTAAACGTTTATGTTGCAGATACGGAAAACATAAAAAATGGTGTATTACAAATGACAAAATAAGAGAGATTCGTTCATATTTTTTTGCATATGACAATAAACATATAATATATATGCAGGATGAAGCTGGTGACGAAAATTGGGCTGTCTATAGTGTTAATATTGAGACTTTAGAGGAGAAGAAGCTGAATGCAAGTGATGTTCATGCATTAATACAAGGAGTGAGTCCAAAATTTGAGGATGAAATTCTTATTCAAATTAATAGCCGTGATCCGCGTTGGCATGATGTCTATAGATTAAACATTAAGAGCGGAGAAACTAAACTTGTATACGAAAATAATGAGTTTATACATTTAATGAGCGATGACGATCTGAATTTGCGGTTTGCTGTTAAGCAAGAACAAAATGGTGATGCACATGTATATAAATTTGATAAAGACTAAAAACTGAAGAGCTTTACGTTATTCCACAGGAAGATTATAATACAACTGGCATCATAGGATTCAATAAAACAAATGATAAGATCTATACAATAGATTCAAGAAACAGATATACAGCTGCAGCTCTTTCCGAAGTTGATATAGAGAGTAAGTCTAGCAAGTTAATATACAGCAATGATAAATTTGATGTTTCTGATTTGACGCTTCATCCAACAGAGAAGAATGTATTGCTTGCCGCCTACAATTACTTGCGGGATGAGATTGTTGTTATAGATGATTCTATAAGAGAAGACATAAAATATCTGAAGTCTATAATCAAAGGAGACATTGAAATAGTCAGTATATCTTTAGATGGGATGCATTGGATAGTAGCAGATTCACAAGATGATGGTCCTGTATTACAAGTATAATAGAGCAGAAAAGAGCCGTGGATTTGCTGAGTTTTTGTTTGCTAATAGAGGCGATTTAAATAAATATAAACTGGTACATATGCATCCAGTTATAATCAAATCTAGAGATGGTCTTGACCTTATTAGTTATCTTAGTCTTCCAAGTGGGAGTCAGAAAGATGATGAGTTAACAACAAAATCTCCACTTCCTATGGTACTTTATGTACATGGTGGTCCAACGGCTAGAGACGATTGGGGCTTTAACTCTGTTCATCAATGGCTAACAAATAGAGGGTATGCTCTACTGAGCGTGAACTATCGTGGATCAACTGGATTTGGGAAGAGCTTTATGAATGCAGGAAATGCTCAATGGGCTGGAAAAATGCATGATGATTTAATAGATGCAGTAGATTGGGCTGTGCAAAATAAAATAGCTGATAAAGAGAAAGTTGCTATCATGGGTGGAAGTTGTCGAGGATATGCAGCGCTGGTTGGGCTGACTTTTACTCCAGATGTGTTTGCATGTGCAGTAGATATAGTAGGTCCTTCTAGTTTAGAGACTCTATTAAATATAATTCCTCCTTACTGGATGCCTGCGCTTATGGCGCTGCAGATTAAGATCGGAGCGGATCATACTACAGAAGAAGGCAAGGAGTTTTTAGCATCTAGATCTCCAATCACATATGTGGAAAGGATTAAAAAGCCACTTCTTATAGGTCAAGGAGCAAATGATTCTAGAGTGAAGCAATCTGAATCTGACCAAATTGTTGAGGTGATGAAGCAAAAGAATATTCCTGTCACATATGTTCTCTATCCAGATGAAGACCATGGATTCGCACGACCAGAGAACCGTTTGTCATTTTATGCTATCACTGAAAGGTTCTTGTCTCATTACTTAGGTGAGAAATTCGAGGATGGTGGCTGTGATTTAAAAAATTCTTCCATTGAAATTAAACACGGCGAAGAGTTTTTGCCTAAAATTGATAATCAGTGTGACGAGCAAAGAAATAAGAGCTCATTATAATGAGCTCTTGATAAAAGCCGTGTGTTTATTTCTTGGAGTGCTATTGTCTATCTGTTTGTAAATTCATCAAATCTCTTTGAAAACTAGCTATTGGCAGAGAAATGGTAGGAGATTTAGGTGCTAGGACATTAGTATATTTGATATACGTGAGGATACGAAATGCGAAATTGACACACCAATTCTAAAAAAAAGCACGAGTTTTCAATGAGGTCTAATATAGCTAAAGAGCTATAAAGTGTGTATACTGTTCATACTTCAAGAATTGGCGTCATCAGAATGTTCCTTATGATGCTCTTTACACTTCAACAATGCATCATAGGAATTGCTTATTCACTATGCATACATGAATGGTACTTTTAGCATTGCTAAATTCTGGAGTGGTTTTGCAGCACGAACATTATATGGCTTGCACACTTCCAAAAAAGCGCTTTAGCGTTCTTCGAATGGTAAAGCGATATTCAAAAGCAAATATAATATTTGTCGAAAATCCGTAAGGTTTTTGCATATTTTGAGCATTTTTTTCTGCGGATTTAAAACGTAATTTTGCTGCTCAAAGCCTTATTTGAAGCAGCTTCTTAGACTTTTTGCGCTTGGACTCACTAAAATTTACTGATTAGATGGGAAACTTATCTAGCATTATCATAATATCAAGCATGTTTGTTGATGTTATGATTATTTTATGATTAGTACAACAGTGTACTTTTCCAAACGCTGAATTTAATAATGATTATTTGATATATCAAAAATAAGGAATGAATATACATAAAATCTTGGTATCACAGCAAGATGCAGGAAGTAGGCTTAGCAAATTGGTCAGCAAATACTTTGCTGCAGTATCGTTTGCAGCTGTAGCGAAACTTGTGCGCACTGGTCAAATTAGAGTTAATGGGAAACGCTCTGCACTCAATATGCGTCTTGAAAAGGATGATGAGGTTAGAATTCCTATGCATGAATCTACAGCAATGCACAGCATAGATCATGCTGACAGAAAATTCTCTGAGCTAGAAAAAAAGATAGTAGCAGAGTTAGTAAAAAGTCTAATATATAAGGATGAAAACATATTAGTATTAAATAAGCCTGCAGGACTTGCAGTACAAGGTGGAAGCAACATTAAAATAAGTATAGATTCGATATCAAGACTTCTGCAATTTGACGCTGACGAAAAACCTAGATTGGTACACAGACTAGACAAAGAAACTAGTGAAATATTATTATTAGCTAGAAGTAAACTAGCTGCTCAAACATTATCACTAGCGCTCAAAGAGCAAATTATACAAAAAAAGTATATTGTTATTCTTGATGGAGTCCCGGAAATAACTGAGGATGTGATTGATATTCCTATTAATAAATCTGCTTTTAAATGCGGGCAATTTGAAAAAGTTCATGAAAATTCTAAGGGAAAAAATGCTGTCACACAATATAAGGTACTTGATTGCATTAATAGTGGTGGAATGCGCTTTTCATTAATGGAATTTTTACTGATTACTGGGCGTACTCACCAGATAAGAGTGCATAGCTCATCTATTGGATTTCCTGTATTTACTTGGATTTACTATTGGATTTACTATTGGATTTACTTGGAGACACAAAATATGCAAAAAACAAAGGGAACGGCAAGAGTCCTCTATTTTTGCATACATGGCAAATTCAAATTCCTTTATTCGGCAAAAATCTAAAACTGAAGGTTTTAAAATTGCCTGATTATTTTGTTGATAAACTAAAAAGCTTGAATATGAAACTCTTTTTTATGTGATTGAGTATTAGATCTATTTGAAAACTCGTACTTCTGGTGAGAATTTGGTGCGTCGATTTTGCATTTTAGATCCTCATGTATATTCGTCATACTTCAAAAATTGGTGCCCTCAGAATGTATTTCGTATACATGATTTACGCATTATTCTTCCTAGCTCTTTTTGAAGTCTAGCTTTGTATGTACTGAAGTTAAATATCAACTTTTCATTTTAGGGGATGTATATGAATACACTCTTCCAAGCGCCTAAATCTTCTACCATTTCTCTGCCATAAGCTAGTTGTGAAGAAGGTCTTGTATAGTTAGTATATGCGCAAAAAGTTCCATCCATGTATGCTAATGGATGAACAATTCCACTGACTTAGACTTTTGGCGCGAGTATTTGTTAATTTCTCTTGGATTGTCCATTCCATCTATTACTGTATTCTATACGAATACCAAAAAGATCTAAAATCTTGCTACACTGTAGTGCACAAGATCCTCAATACTTTTTGGCTGAATGTAAAAAGAGTTTAACGGTGGAGCAATGATTCCACCCATAAGGGTTACATGCTTCATTGCCTCTATGTGACTTAGATTCAATGGTGTTTCTCTAAGCATTAAAACGAGAGGTCTTCTTTCTTTGAGAGTAACGTCTGCTGCCCTTGTAAGTAGGTTATCTGTAATTCCATATGCAATAGAGGACATCGTTTTGACAGAATAAGGTGCTATAATCATTCCGCTATGTTCAAACGATCCGCTTGAAATACAGCTATTAATATCATGACAATTATATGAGAATGTTGCAATATTCTTGATATCATTGATTGAATAACTTGTTTCGTAGTGTTCGTTTAAGAACAGAAATGAACGGTTAGCTCAGCGAAAGCGCGCTCTAAAGACGAGATAGAAAACTTATTTTATAATATTCAAAATTTTAATGCAACTCAAATACAAAAGATAACCATACAACTAATTTAGGTTTAGACAAGATTAGAAATTGATATTTATTACTCAGCATGGTATGTCCGATTCTGACTTTGATTCACTTTATTTTATAATATTCAAAATTTTAATGCAACTCAAATACAAAAGATAATCATACAACTAATTTAGGTTTAGACAAGATTAGAAATTGATATTTATTACTCAGCATGGTATGTCCGATTCTGAATTTGATTCACTCTTGAACCTTATTGATAAACTAGAAAAGGATGTATTATGCTGGAATCAATGGTAAATAAAAGGACTAAAGGAAAAGCAGATGAGGAGGGGTGTAAATCCCAAATTCTCGCATAGCGTGAAACCTGAGCCGATCATCAAGTTCACCAATAATGAAAATGGGACGTTCGCCTGAGCCGATCATCAGGCCCCATAAGAAAGAAGTTGTTTGATTACTCAGAGCGGATCGTCAAGTAATTCTGTCCGAGCCAGATCATCGGACACCCATTGGTGGTAGCGACCCACCGCCTGAGACCGTTCATCAGGCAAACAAAGAATTATGGATTCGTGTATGATTAGAGACACGTCTAGATTGATTCTGTGCAGCAAGAAGCAGATCTTTAACGCTCTTACCTTGAATCGTCTTAATTGATATTGACAGTAATGTTTGAAAGGGCGTGAGAAGTCGGTATCAATGTCCTAGGATTCCTTTATTGAAAAATACGCGATAATTCGTTGTCGTTACCAAGAGAATAACAGGAGACCGGAAGATAAACGAAAAAAGGACGCTTGAAAGAGCGTGCCAATCTGATCGCGCTCTCGATCATGCGCTGTCGCGTTAAGCGTAAAATAAAAGTTGTGCTTGCGGCGCGTTATTTAAATTGGCAGTCTTTGACATATTCGAGCTTGCTCGAACACGTAGTTTATCGTGATATTAGCAGTGTCACTAATTATTAAGTGTGTTTTGATAATGAGCGTTTTTAAGATCTTTAAAATCTCAGTGCCATATGCTGCACCTGTTGCACTTATTATTGCAACAACTAGAGATTTTGATATATTTTTCGGTGTGGAACTCACAATAAACTTACCTTAAAATCGGTATACTCGTCATACTTCAAAAATTTGCATTATCAGAATACATTATGATTGAATTATACATTGCCTCGCGTTCTTTCTAGCTCTTTTTAAAGTCTCTTTGTAGGTGTAAGATGGTATAGCTAAAGCGAGTTTGTGATAATATCTAATATCATATTGTAGCATTTTAGCTATAGTAGCTTTTTATAAAAGTAAAGAAAAAACATGATGCTTTTTCATTTATCTTTCACAAGGATCATCAGAAAAAGTTCATCTATTAATTCAACAATTTTTGAAAGAAATATCCAAAGCTTTCTTTGTTAGTTTTTAGCACTAATCTTCATACAGAGCAAAATCGATCTTGTCCCATAGCTTATAAAAATGATGAACAGGACCATGATCTTTTCCTATCTCTTGATTAATTGAGGCTAATTTTGCTCCAGATAGATATTGTTTTGCAAGCTTACATGCTTCAAATGGTTGCATGCCGCGAACAAGGAAAGCACAAATTGCAGCTGCAAGCGTACATCCAATACCATGTGTGTTTTTAGATATAATACGTACCATGTGTGTTTTTAGATATAATACGCAGATAGTGTTTTACTAAAACCATTTTTGTCTAAGAATAAATCAGTGGAATATTAGCCACTTCTATGACTACCTTTTAGCAATACTGCATGACATCCGAGTTTTAGTAAAGTTGATGCAGAAACTTCAATTTCATTATTTCTGACACATAAAACATGGATTTTTGGTATATTTGGTGTGATTATTGTGGAAATTGGAATTAGTGCAGATTTAAGTGCATCTACTGCGTCGTTTCTTAGCATGTCTATCTCCGCTTTTTGCGACCATTACTGGGTCTAAAACAATAGGAATGTTTTTTGCTTTAGCACTTAAAAACTTAGCTGCAAGCTCAATAATTTCAGTAGAAAACAACATTCCTATCTTAATGCTATCAGGTATTATATCATCAAAGATAGCTTCTAGTTGTTCTTCTATACATGAAAGTGGTAAGTCGTAACATTTTCTAACTCCACATGTATTCTGTACAGGTAAATTAGTTAGTACGCTCATTCCATAACATCCAGTAGCTGAAAATGTTTTTATATCAGCATGAATGCCAGCACCGCCTGATCCATCGAATCCAGCAATTGATAAGCACTTATACTTCACAATTTCTCCCGAATTATTTCAAATTGATTACTTGCACTATACAGAATGAGGTGACAATCATAACATACACTACGAAACATTAGGAGATGCACTCAAAGTGCTATCTTGCTAGTATCTGGACAGGTATACCTGCCATACTTTAAAAATTGGTGTCGTCATAATGCTACCGATGTATTTTGTTTTATAACTAAAAATATTATAAAATGTGTATGATAAACGAGTTTTAGAGTTATATACGTATCAAAGATGCTTGATTTTAATAGAACTTCTCAGTTACTTTCCGAAAAAAGCAGGACCGCTTACCGGGAGCTTTAGCACAAGAACTAAGATTAAATATAGATCAAATTATTGTCAAGAGCATCATGGTATGCTGCTCAACATCTCAGGTAGTACATGCATCAAAATCAAAAGTCTCAGAAGCTTTATAAAATAATGCTTAGAGCGGCAAAATTACATTTTAAATTCCGCATAGACAAATGCGCAAAATATGTAAAAGCCTTGCGGATTTTAGAGCAAGTATCACACTCGCATTTTTTAATATTGCTTAAGCCAGAAAAAGGCGCTTTAGCGCCTTCCCAAGATGCGGGTTCTATATAATTCTCGTGCTGCATAAACCATTTCAGAATTTAGCAATGCAAAAAGTTCCATCCATGGATTCTTAGTGGATGAGCAATTTCCTGATTTGGACTTTTAGTGGATAGACTAGATAATATAGCTAAAGCTCTATATGTTATGTTTTAAAAAATTGCTGGATATTTTATAAGTAATGTTCGAATAATGATAATTTAGAGTTGAATAAGTTCTATGTGATGAATTCCACTACTTTATTTAGCATGAAAGATCCTTTTTTTGTTGTTGCAATATGTGTTTTTCCAAGTATTTCTTTGTATTCCAAGATGCCAAAATTTATTAAAAATTCTACTGAAATGAGTTGTTGATCAGTTTTTGCTATAAATTCAAGCTCCATTCCTTCCTTCAGTCTCATTCCCATTAGTATCTTCTCGTTTCGAGCTTCATCTGTACTGAGTGGAGTTATAGTTTGAAAGGCGGATCTATCATCTATGCTTTTTTTCAACCATATTTCAGGACTATGATATTGAAGAGTTGCATATTTAACATCATTTTTTTCATATCTGCCATGAGCGCCACGGCCTATTCCAAGATATTCATTATATTTCCAATAACCAAAGTTATGTTTACATTCATAACCTTGCTTTGCATGGTTTGAGATTTCATAGTTTGGCATGTCCCACATCATATCTTGAGTAAGATTATAAAAATCAGCTGATAAGTCTTCTGTAGGCATTTCAAATTCACCACTTCTATGTGATTTAAAGAATGGAGTGCCTTTCTCTATTGTAAGTTGGCATAGTGAAACATGCTTAGATATATAGTGCTTTATTTCATTTAACTCAGGTGCCCAATCACTTAGCGTTTGGTTGGGAAGTGCATAGATAAAGTCTAGTGAATAATTATTAAAATACTTACTAGCAACCTCAATTGGGCTCTTTGCTTCATCTACATTATGCTTGCGACCTAAAAACTTTAGATTATTTTGATTTAAACTTTGTATGCCAAGCGAAACTCTATTTATGCCAATTGCTCTATTTGATTGAAATTTACTGCTTTCAACAGATGTTGGATTTGCTTCAAATGTGATTTCTACACCCTTTGATATTTTAGATACAGTAGCGATTTTTTCTAAAATTCCACATATAATAGATAGCGGAGCCAAAGATGGAGTGCCACCACCAATAAATATTTGTAACCTCCTTTTATGCAAGATATTCAGAGTAGTATTCAATGTTCAATTTATACGCTTCGAACCATTTTATATCATCGATATTTGTTGCTATATGGCTGTTGAAATCGCAGTAAGGGCATTTTGATCTACAAAATGGCCAATGAATATATAGTGAAATGTTATGATTACTTATGTTGATATTTGATTTAGTTTTTGTATACTGTGACTGGCGAGAGGAGGGGCGTGATGCGTCTCTTGTTGATTGAGGTATTTATCTTTAGTGATCAAATAGATTTTAGAATTATCTTTAAGAGCAGTAGTTTTGTAAATCAGCCCAACATATCGACTAATATTAAAAACTGTTAGTGATAAGCAACGGAATGCTTCTAAAAGTTGGAACTAGGGCGAGCCCGCTTGCCATTGCGCAGGTTAAAGCTGTTATTTGTAAAATTCAAGAAAATTTTTCAGATATAAAATGTGAGATAGTGAAAATTCAAACGACCGGTGATAGATTATATCAGGCTGATTTGCATTTGCTTGGAGGCAAGGGATTATTTCTTAAAGAAAGAGAAATGCAACTAATATCAAAGGAAATTGATATAGCCGTACATTCTATGAAAGATGTGCCGGCTATTATTCCAAAAGAGTTAGTTATAGATTGTGTTTTAGAAAGAGAAGATCCGAGAGACGTTTTTATATCTCTGAATGTCAAATCACTAGAGGAACTTCATGAAGGAGCAGTAGTCGGAACATGCTTAAGCAGAAGACGAGCTTTCTTGCAGAAATTCTATAAGCAAGTCAAAGTTCAAAATATCAGAGTAAGAGACTAGAATCAGAAAATTGCATAATGGAGTTGTTGATGCAATTGTAATAGCGCTTGCTGGATTGAAGAGGCTTAATATGATGGAACATGCGACTGCAGTGCTTGATGTAGAGCAATTTATTACGGCAATAGGGCAGGGAGCTAGGTGTAGAATGTCGCATAGATGATAGCAGAGTCCTGAAGTCAATTAATCATGCAAAGACTTACTGCTGTGTCTTGGCTGAAAGAACACTTATGAAGGCATTTGGTGGATTGTTCAACTCCAACTGCTGTTTATGCTAAGCTTGTTAATGGTGAGGTTTTCTTCAATTCTTCATTTTTTTATGCAAATAGCAAAGAGATGATCTATTCAAGGTTGTACGGCAGAGCGTCTGATGCTATTTTAATCGGTCGAAAAGCGGCTTCAGAAATATTAAGTCTAATGTAATGAAATATACTCGTCATACTTCAAAAATTGGCGTCGTCAGAATAGATCTCTTTTGCAACTAGTGTATGTCAGAGAAATGGTAGGAAATTTATGCGCTTGTGAGGACCTTAGTGTATTTGATATACATGAGGATCCGAAATGCGAAACCGACACACCAATTCTCAAAAAGAAGTACAAGTTTCGAAAAAGGTCTAATACGCATTATGTATTTCGTGTACTACTTGCACACTATTATTCATAGCTCATTTTGAAGTCTATCTTTATATGTACTTAAATAAATTAAATTCCAACTCGTCATTGAGTGGCAGTATATATAACGCTTTAACTATATATATTAATTATTAATTTTTATTTGTATGCATCTTATTTTAGCCTTTGAAATGGAAAAGCATTTTTCTTATAAAATAATCTAATGATTTTGCATTGCAATGTGGTATAAGTGAGCTGTGTTGTGGTCCGGAGGGCGTAAATCCATGGGGCTAATCCTGTTATATACTGCTCTAACATGAAGAGTTGGTATTTAATTGCAGCACATACAAAGTTAGATTTCAAAAGGAGCTAGGAAGAATGCTAGCAGGTAGTATACGAAATACATAAGGAGCATTCTTAAGGCGCCAATTTTTGAAGTATGACGAGTATACTTATTTTCATTGAGCGGTGTGGTATGCTGGAACTATTATCTTCTATTTCATTAAGCGACCTTTATAAGCTGGATAATTTAAAAATATTAGATCAAAAGTTTTTAAAGTGGCTGAATAATATAGATAAGATACTTTATTTGATGTGTTAATTTCTGCAAGGAGCATTACATCATCTAAGAGAGGAGCAAAAATTAATTATAAAACTTGCTCCTCTGCTAGAAATGTTTATTGAACTGCTATTTGGTATAGAAAGTGAAATAGAGGAAGTAAGAAAGAAATATCTGCTACTTGAAGCATTACTATCGTGTCAAAGAAAATTTGTACAAAGGCGAGTTGCAAAGCAGCTATGCATAACAAATGATGTTATATATTCAAAAATAGAGAAAGCTATATCATTACTAACACAAGAAGGTGTTGTGCTTAATAATGAGATTAGTTTTGCTGAGTTTGTGACAAAGTGGCAAAAGGATAAGGATAAATATGTTCACCTAATTAATGCTGCAGAAATATATACTGTTTGGGTGCTTCGAACAGAGGAGGGTGAAGCTAAGCATAAGAATAGCGTACTTTTTAAGTTTCCGCGCAAAAAAGATTATGAGAATCTTGTAGATAGGAAGGTATGTAACGCAAACGCGAAAGTTAGAGAAGATTTTACAACTCATTTGAAAGATACGACGCTTGAGCATTCAGTATATAATGCGAACTACTGCATTTACTGTCACAATCAGGAGAAAGATTTCTGCTCAATTGGTGCAAAAAATAAAAATTGTAGTAATGAGAGTTTCTCCATAAATCCTTTAGCAATAGAATTGACTGGTTGCCCGCTTGAAGAAAAGATTTCAGCTATGAATTATCTAAAAAAGCAGGGATATGTAGTCAGTGCGCTTGCAACTGCAGTTATAGATAATCCGATGGTTGCGGCTACAGGTTATAGAATATGTAATGATTGCACGAAATCATGCATATATGTTGCAGGCGATTCTAGAAATGCAGATGGAAATACATATCAAAAGCAGCTACCTGTTGATATTCCACTGCTAGAGACGGAAAATTTATATCAGGTGTTAAATCTGCCATACGGCTTTGAAATATATAATCTTTTAACTAGGTGGAATCCATTAAAATTTAAGCATTATTTACCAAAGGAAATAAATCAATATAAGGTGTTGATCGCAGGTCTCGGACCTGCAGGTTTTACACTTGCTCACTATTTGTTGAATGCTGGATTTACTGTTGTAGCTATTGATGGTTTAAAAATTGAACCTCTTGCGCCTGAAATCTCTGGAATAGATCAACTTGGAAGAAGGCATAATTTCAAGGCAATAAAAGATCTTACCAGGGATGGGAAAGTTACTTTGTAAAAGTAATAATTACAGTTACAGTTTTTCTGTTTCAAAAAGTAATTAATTACCGTTACAAGTTATTGACTTTGAAAAGTAATTCGTTACAGTTACAGTTACTGAAAAAGTAACTTTAAGTTACTTTTAAGTTACTTTTTTTATCGGAAATTTTACTAGTAGTATTGATACCATTAGGGCTGTATTCAAAAACGTTATCCAATTGCTTTCATGTATCGTTTTACCCTTGTTTTTCACCTAATATTAAACAAGGATGATACACGGGGTCATCAGAGTAATGCAGCCTAGGACAATTAAAAAAAAAGACTGGCTTACATTTACATGTTATACAATTTTATTCAAAAAGATAAAAAAATTGTATGGCAAAGACGTTTTTCGTTAAAGTAATATAAACACATATGAAAATATATGAATATGAAATAGCACACATATACAATGTTTTTTGTAAAAAAAAATTCTTTTTATATTTGGCTAAAAGTTGCAAATAAATTCCAGCACTAATCCAAAATGGTCTACAACCGTTCACGGAGCGCTCTTGTATTTGATTGGCGGATTCCATTAGATCCCAAAATATAGACCAAACAGGTACAATAGTTCATTGAATGTTTTAATTAAATTTCTTTCTTCTGATTAATCAAATGTTTCGAAGTATTTGTAGCGCCAAGTGGACACTACCGCACACTAAATTGACAAATAAGTTTAAAATATATAAAATAACTATGAAAGTAACTATTAAATTAGTTAATAGTTACTTAAAAGATGTAACTAAGTTAAGTTATAGTTACAGATAGAAAGAAAGTAACGAAGTTAAGTTACAGTTACTGAAAAAAAGTAACTCCAACTGTAACTTCTTTACAAATAACGAGTTACTTCCCATCCCAAATGAGATATACGATGATTTAAAGAACCGAGTTCCTGAAGGGTTCGGTTGTGTCATGGAATATGGTATAACTTCGCGCTGGAATAAAAATTATCTAAAGATAATTAGGCTTTTACTAGAGAGAAGAGAAAATTTTCGTATGTATAATAGTACAAGATTTGGTAGCGCCATTGATTATAAAACTGCAGCTTCTTTAGGATTTGATCATAGCTCTTGCACTAGGTGCAGGGAAGCCAAACATTCCAGATATTCATAATGTACTGGTGAAAGGAGTGATAACTGCCTCTGATTCCTTAATGACACTGCAGTTGCTTGGTTCGCATCTAGAGGGCAGCATAGCAAGCCTTCAGATAAGATTGCCAATACTTGTTATAGGTGGGGGTCTAACAGCTATAGATACTGCTGCTGAGAGTCTTGCATATTATCCTCTACAAGTTGAGAGGTTTTTGCGTACATATGAAAAGCTTGGTCCAAAAATACTAAATGATCTAAACGAAGAAAAATTAGAGATAGCGCAGGAATTCATGATGCATGCTGCAATCATTAGAGAAGCTCCAGAGAAGAAGTTAACGCTTTTGAACAAATGGGGTGGAATGAAAGTAGTGTATCGCAAGTCTATGCAGGAATCACCCAGTTATAGGCTAAATCATGAAGAAGTACAAAAAGCGCTAGAAGAGGGAGTGGAATTTATAGACAACATAATACCTCAAGAAATTGAAGTTGATAGATTTCGTTTGGTGGTGTTTCGCTGCTGAAGCATCAAACTGGAATTATAAAAGCAAAGACAATTTTTATAGCAACTGGCACACATCCTAATACTACAGTTGCTCATAAAGATGCAGAACACTTCAAATTAAATGGAACACATTTCGTATTGGTGGACGAAAAAAACAATCCTGTCGTTGCAGAAAAAACTCCGAAACCTAAAAATACGTTTATATTAAGTGATGCATTGTCAAATCCTAGTATTAGCCATTTGGATGATATGCATGTTTCTTATAGTGGCAATGTTGTTAAGGCAATGGCAAATGCAAAGCATGGATGAGAAATCATAGAAAGGCACGTGCAAAGCACAGCACCAAACTCTGATTTGCAACATACAACATTTTTTAGTGAATTAGATAGAGAACTAATTGAAGATGTAAAAAGACTTACACCAAATGTGCTAGAGATAATAATAAAAGCACCACTAGCAGCAAAGAAGTTTCAACCAGGGCAGTTTTATAGGCTGCAAAATTACTCTCAAATCTCCGAAAATAGGATGGAAGGAGTGGCTGTACAGGTGCTTGGGTGAATAAGGAACTTGGTCTGGTTGGGGTAATAGTACTGAAAACTGGAGCATCCTCAGATGCCTGTGCGACTTTGAAAAAAGGAGATGTTGTTTCGTTCGTGGGGCCAACTGGTACCCCAACTGAGATACCAAAAAATAAAAATGTAATGCTGGTAGATGGTGGACTTGGAAATGCAGTGCTATTTTCAATAGGCAAAGCTTTGCGAGAAAATGATTGTAGAGTACTGTATTTTGCTGGTTATAAAAAAGCAGTAGATAGATATAAGATAGATGAGATAGAAGATGCTGCGGATTCTGTTGTGTGGTGTTGTCAGGAATCATTGCTAAAGGTCAGAAGAAGTTCGGATTATTCTGCTATTGGCAACATTATAGATGGAATTGCAAGTTATGATGGAACCCTCATAAAATTAAGTGAGATAGAGCATATCATAGTAATAATTTCTGATAAAATGATGAAGGCATTTGAAGAAGCAAGGCATAGTAGACTCAAGAATTTATTCAAATGGCCTCATGTTGTAATAGCATCAATTAAGTCACCTATGCAATGTATGATGAAGGAGATATGTGCTCAATGCTTGCAAATACATGTAGATCCTATAACGAAAAAAGAGTCTTATGTGTATAGCTGCAGGCAGCAAGATCAAATACTGGATTTTGTAGATTTCAATCATCTTGAGTTGAGGCTTTCTCAGAACTCACTACAAGAAAAGTTTATTAGAAAGATGAGATTGAATACTACAATGGAGGTGGGGAAATTCTAAGATGAAGTGCAACACCTATTGTGCTATAAGGCACGAATACAAATGAAATAAGGTGTTGCACTTGAAAGTAGAATGATCATGGATTCATAGTGGATAAGCAATTTCATTGATTTGGAATTTTGGTGCTTGGACTAGTAATGATCGGTTGCCATGTGATTCCTATAAAATTTTTCTCATCTTTAAATGAGGGATCGTATATTTATCAAAATAATCGCCTTCTGCTACATATCCATTCTTCAGATAAAAATTCACAGCTGAATCACGTGCATGACAATAAATGGTTTTGAAGCCATGTTTTTTAGAGTGATCCTCACAAAAGGCCATCATTTTAGAGCCAATACCTGTATTCACTAAATCTTCTTTAACAACGACGCGCTGCATTTTGCAATGCTGTCCTTCTGGAACTAGTACAGAGGTTGCAATAATTTCTGTGCCATTGAATTCGACAATTTGGATATGGGATTTTTCTGCTAATAATTCAGCTTCAGGAAAACTCAAACCAAGCGGAGCGCGAAGTATACGCTCTCTCAGTGCGCTTTTGTATTCATCAGTGCCGTGGTCAATAATTTTAAATACAACATCCAAATTCATTTACAATACCTTCTTTAAATAATATCACTTACAGCCCTTAGGACAATTATCTAAAACACCAAATATCTTGTATCTAATATTTTAAGTAAAAATCCTTGGCCTGAAATTCATAAGATCTCTTCTGAAACTAGACTTTTACTAAAAATTATATCCGATAAATATAACAATCGGCGCAAGAGATTTTGCCTTAGATTCAATTTAGTCTCAGCTATTTATAATATGGAGTTACTACGATGATAGTTTCAAAAGCGGTCTATAGGAATCTGGATGCACTAACTTCACCCGCATAGCTTTCGCTTCTTTCTCAATTTGCTTTACATCCTTACTGTGGATTTGAAACACTTTTTTGCTGCTATAAACCTTATTTCTTATTTTATGCAGCTCCCGGGACTTTTGGTGAATGGAATAGATAAGGGGCTTTTCTGTTGCCCGGAAAACCCCAAGAACCGCGCTTTGCCGAAATTAAGCAGCTAGAGCGAAAGCTCTGCTGTCGAAATTTTCGTTAGCAGGTGCAAAAACTTTATTTGCATTTACTTTTTTTGACCCATCACAGAAGGTATCATCCTGGGTAACAATTGCTTTTTTAAATATATGTCGAAGCTGTTTCACCCCCATACTAGTATATTTTACACCAAGGCTGTTATTTAGAATCAAAGCTTAGAAATAGAAAACAGACCTGCATCTATAGCTAAAGTGCTATGAAAATACTTGTGTATCATAACTTAAAAGCTTCTAAAGATTAACTACTTGAGTGTAAACAAAAATAAGATGGTGGAGGTGTCGGGTACCGCCTCCGAGTCCAAAATATCTATTATAAGCAACCCTCTATTACCATAGTCTTTTTACAAAGACGAACGTATTTTAGCATATATTGCAGCATTCTTGGAGTAATTTTTATTTACCATTTCCAACCTTCAAAACTGCAATAAATGCGCTTTGCGGATCTTCTACACGTCCTATAGAGCGCATTTTCTTTTTGTCTTTTTTTTTGCTTTTCAAGCAATTTCCTTTTACGTGTCACATCCCTACCGTAATACTTGGCGGTGACATCTTTTCTCATTGCACTGATAGTTTTTCTTGCAGTTATTTTGCCTCCAATTGCAGCTTGTATAGGGATTGAAAACATATGTCTTGGAATTAAATCTTTCAATCTCAAGCAGATTTCACGTCCTCTAGTTTCTGCCCTACTTTTATGTATTATCAATGATAACACATCAACAATTTCCTCATTAATCAATATGCTCATTTTAATTAAGTCTCTTAATACTCTTAAATGCTTACTGATTTCCCAATCAAAACTTGCATAACCTCTAGAACAGGATTTTAATCTATCATAAAAATCATAAACGATTTCATTAAGTGGCAATGCATATACAACCATCGCTCTATTTCCTACATATGTGATATTATCTTGCACGTCACGTTTTTCTATGCAAAGCGCAAGCACAGAACCAAGATATTCTTCTGGCACCATAATAGTTGCTTTTACCCAAGGTTCTTCGATATAATCTATGTGTGTTGGATCTGGCATATCTACGGCATTATGCACGTGAACTACTTGCCCTGACCTTAGATGTACATGATAGATTACACTTGGGGCTGTTGTAATTATGTCATGATCAAATTCTCTTTCAAGACGTTCCTGTATAATTTCAAGGTGCAATAGACCAAGAAATCCGCATCGAAAGCCAAAGCCAAGTGTGCGCCTGGACTTTCCATTTCAAATTGAAAGCTTGCTTCATTAAGTTTTAACTTAGCAAGACTATCTCTAAGAATTGGAAATTGGCCTGCATCCGTTGGGTATAAACTACAAAATACTACAGGCTGACTTTCTTTGAACCCAGGTAATGGAGCATTGCAGGGATTTTTTAGTCTGTTATTGTATCTCCTACATGACAATCTGCAACTTCTCTCATTCCGGCAGTGATAAATCCAACTTCTCCTGCAACAAGCTGTTCTATCATAACCTTCTTTGGAGTGAATATACCGACACTTTCTATATTATAAGATGCGCCAGCTGCCATCATTTTGATCTTTTCACCTTTTTTTAAGACGCCATCTATAATTCTTACTAATATCACTACGCCAAGATACTGATCATACCAACTGTCAACAAGCATAGCTTTAAGTGGAGATTCAACAGAAGTACTGGGTGCAGGCAAAAATCGTACAATTGCTTCAAGTAGTTCAGGGATGTTCAAGCCAGTTTTTGCAGAGATTGGAATTGCATTAGAGGTATCTAGACCTATTACATCTTCTATTTGTGATTTCACTCTATCAACGTCAGCTGCAGGGAGATCTACTTTATTTAGTGCTACTATGATTTCATGATTGCTCTCTATAGCTTTATAGACATTGGCTAGTGTTTGTGCTTCAACGCCTTGACTTGCGTCTACAACTAGGATAGAGCCTTCGCAAGCAGCAAGTGATCTGCTAACCTCATATGGGGAATCTACATGCCCAGGGGTATCTATTAAATTTAGAATATACTGTGTTCCATCTGAAGCTTTGTAATGCAATCTAACAGTTTGAGCCTTGATAGTAATTCCCCTCTCTTGCTCAATTTCCATAGAGTCAAGAACTTAGGCTGTCATTTCTCTGCTTTGAAGTCCTCCGCATATTTCAATTAGGCGGTCTGCAAGTGTAGATTTGCCATGATCAATGTGAGCAACTATAGAGAAATTTCTAATATTATGGATCTTTTTCATTATATTATTCTATTCAAAGCAGTGTATAATGCTTATAAAGATGGGTAATTTGTCACACTTCAAAAATTTGCGTCGTCAGAATGTTCATTATGTGTTTCGTGTATTACCTTTAGCACTATTCTTCCTAGCTTTTTTGAAGTCTAACTTCGTACGTACTGAAGTTAAGTAACAATTTTTCATTTAGCAGAGGTATACAGATCATAGATTGTAACATGCTATATTGTAACGCTTTAGCTATATTTCACAAAATCTCTCATGGTATGATATATAAAGTTATCGATTTTTCCATCCAATCCTGAGTTAGTATCACCCTCTTGATAAGATGTTCTGCTATCTTTAACCATTTTATAAGGATGTAATACATATGATCTAATTTGGTGTCCCCAGTCTATTTCAGTTTTAGTTTTATTTTGTTGGTTTAGTTTTTCTTCTTTAATTCGAAGTTCCAGTTCATATAGCCGTGATTTCAACATTGCCATATTCTAACTGCGCTATGGTGTTGACGTGCTGCCCACCTGCGCCGGAAGAACGATATGTCTATTCTAAGATCGGTTTCGTTGATAGCGACTTCTATATTTTCGTCGACTACTTGGTATACATGTATGCTAGCAAAGCTAGTATGGCGTTTTCCAGCACTATTATAAACGGTGATATTCTAACAAGACACCACTTTCTGTTGTGAGCTACCCGTATGCATTTTCGCCTTCTATTTTAATTGTTGCAGACTTTATACCTGCACTTTCTCCTGGCATTGAATGCACTATCGATACTTTGAACTTATGTCTCTCTGCCCATCTAGAATATATCCTAAATAGCATGAAAGCCCAGTCATCACTTTCTGTTCCTCCTGCTCCTGAATGTACTTCTAAAAATGCATCGTTTTGGTCGGCCTCATGAAACAGCATGCAATCTATTTCTTTCTCGAGAACAATCTTACTGAGATCTTGAAGTAAAGATTCAGCTTCTGATAAAAGCTGAATATCAGACGCTTCCTCTGCCATATCTATTAACTCTATACAAGATGCAATGTCCTGCTTAAGTGATAAAACAACTTTTATTGACTTACCTAGATAATTTCTATCTCGCAATCTGCGCCTTGCAGATTCTCGATCCCAAAAATCTTGCATTTCGCATTTTGCATTTATATCATCGAGTTTCTTACAAGCATTATTCCAGTCAAAGATACCTCATCAAAAATTCCAAGGAGCGCTCTATATCTGCTTTATACTTCGCTATTTCTTGTTTTGTCATACTAACTTGTGAAATGAATTGTTAATTGCAATATTATTATCTATCAAAATATTTAATATCAAAACGAAGCTTATAATAGAAAAACAGCTTCAAGTTGGAATACCTTCTATTTCAAGATTTGTTCTTGAGAGTTTATCAATGAGGTTTCCATATCCTCTTTCTATATGAGTTGCAGTTGTCAGAATTGTTGTTCCTTCTGCTAGAGTTGCTGCTATTAAATAAGCTAATCCCGCTCTAATGTCTGGCACAGCTATAGGTTTATCTATAGCTGTTAATGCTGTTGGACCGTGTATTAATGCGCTATGTGCATAATCACAGCCTTTGTATCTACAATCCAATGAACCAAGGCACATCTTAGTAGTTTGTGTTTTAGCCCCAAGTTTATTTAATACTTCTAAATAACCAAATCTTTGTTTATATACAGTTTCATGTGTCACAGACATGCCATTTTCTTGTATCAAAAGTGTTGCAAAATGCTGCTGCCAATCGGTTGAAAATCCTGGATATACATCCGTTTCAATTGTAACTGGGGATAATGCGCCTTTACTAGAAAATAAGATAGTTTCTGCGTTTACCAGCTGATAACTGCCGCCGATTTGGTTGTAATACCAAAGGAAATGTCTTAATAACTCAGGTCTTATACCGCTTACTTCGATTTTTCCTCCGGAAGCACATGCAAGAGATGCCGAGGATGCTGCTTCTATGTGATCTCCTATAGCATGAATATTAGTCTTGTGTAGTTTTTTAACACCAGAGATAGTTAGATTTCTGCCAGAATTCAAAAAAATTTCAGCTTCCATTGATCTTAGCATTGTAATGAGTTGCATGATTTCTGGTTCTATTGCGATATTACTAATAACGCTAGTTCCTTTTACAAGCACTTCAAGAAATATGCATGTTCAGTTGCTCCAACAGAAGGGTATGGAAGTGTTATATGAGTGTTTCTTAATCCATTTGGGGCATAAGCGGAATATTTGGAATCAGTACTTTCGATTGTTGCTCCAAATTTCATTATAGCATTTATATGGAAATCCACATTCCTCTTTTCAATCTCGTCACCTTTCACAGTTAGTAGGTATACTAGGCGGATTCTAACCCATGGGACTAGAGGGAAGCGCGGGGTGCGGGGGATACTCGTAGGCGAAGGGAAGCGTAGCGCGGGGATTCTTCGGTGGTGGGGGTATGACGTCATGCGGAATGGCAGTAAGATTTTGGGGACTGCAGTCACGTACAAGATAACAAAAAACATCACAAAAAAGGAAATATTGCCATGAACAAAAAAAACAAACAGTTATAGAACAAAAAGTGTTACAAAGGGTATATGCTCCAACCGTTTTTCGACCAAGATATAGCGTAATGTAATTTTTATAGAAGCAACGTTTATTAATTGTTTTAAATACCTAAATACAACCAAGTTTCATAATTATTGCGAGTAGATATAGTAGGCGAGTTCTAACTCTATGTGGCTAGAGAGCGGAGAAGGTCCCCCGGTCGCTGCTGCGACCCCGCGATCACCCCAAAAATGCATTGCGGGCCGCCGCCACCCGCCCATAAAGGTACGAGAACCTCTTTTTTCTTTTGTTTTTTTATAACTTAGTTTTCAAAATACACTGTGTTCTTTTCTTTTTCTTTTACTAGGGCAAAGGATGGGTAGTGAAATAAAGTAGTACATATATATGTGTGTGATACATATGTATGTGTGAAGAAATTACATCATAATTTTTAGATTAGCAATTTTTTTTATTTACATTTCTTTTACATAATTTTTTTCTTACGCACAAAAAACTACAGCTAACAGTTCGCAGTCGAGGAGCTGATTTTTATCAAAGTAATCGCTAGCGCATATTACATTTTGTATATCTTTAGCATCCGTTACAGTGGATGAGATATTTGAGAATCGTGTAAACTTTGTATCGGACTTTCTCGACGATACCAACCAATTGATCGAATGCTAATTCAATGCATTTATCTAAGTTGAACATAAACATTATTGTTGATTCAGTCATCATTAAACGTACGTCGGGTGATTCCAAGCATACAATTTTAGCATTTTCAATCGTACTGAATCGCACAGTCAGCGGTCCAACGGTAATAGAATTGCCCTTGCAGTGATTCCGAAGGCAGTTTTGAACGTTCCAACGTTGTTCATAGAGTCTTTTCCATGTTTCGATAGATAGTATTAATTCATTGCCACGATTATCTCCTATCGCAATCTCCACGTAGCTCGGTAGGCCAACATTGATACCAATTTCTAGAAATTTGTATCCCGTACGTGTCAATGCGTATATCCTGCCTAGTATGCGAACCGTACGATGCACGGGCGCGCTATAGAAAAATATAAAAGAAATATTAAATAATTAATTAAATAGTTAATTTGAAAAGTATAAAAATGGAGGATTCTTAAACTTACTTGGCACATCTTTTCGTAAATGATGGAGTTTCATCATTATTCTGAAGTGGAACGTAATAATTTTTTCGTGTATTGCTTCCTACAGCGAAGTACATTGCTGTTGCTGCTGCTGCTGCTGTTGGACCTTTTGTACAAGCGGGGAT